TCTTCCTTACATGTAAGAATCACCTTTTTTTCTAAAAGAGAAGAAATGCTAAAGAATCTTTTGTACGTACGCAAACAAAGAATTGTTTATTAACTCATCCTTCTGTATTCGAATCCGTCAGATGTCCTTCGAGTATCACGTCATTAACCTGGGTGGTGGACCGTGAACGATGACACATGACAGAAGAACGGAGAGTTGAGAGCGCACGGCGGCAAGGTAGTCATAAAAAAAAATTAACATTTTGAAGTTACCTCTCGAAGCTGAGCTTACGGATGTGCGCTGGAGATATACATATTAAGTTTTCTCTTGTATAACGAATTGCACACATTGACCGACACAGTCATCTTTCAGATTATGAATTTTTAAGGTTGTGTGCGAAACTTTGATATGATATTTGATAAAGCGAAATTTCCGATTGGTCCGTTCTACCATATTGATGAATCATGGCACAGACGCCTCAATAACTGTGGAAATTACAAATGAATCATTCACAGAGAAAAAGAAAACTAGAATCTATAAGCGAAGTCGACTTTCATCAGAGTAAACTGGAAATTTTAATGTGAATATCTGAAATTATTAAATTTTTGTGTGTTTGGCCACACAAGTCGACTCCCACGTGATTTTTCTGCAACATAAATCTGCAAAAATCTTTGCAGTAACTTTGCAGATTCTGCAAAGGGTCTCTGCAGATTTGAAGCAGATGTGCCAAGATTTGACCAAAGATCTGATGCAGATCCGCAAAAATATCTTTACAGTTTCTTTGCAGGTTTTCTGCAGAGAAACTGCAGATTTTTACACGTTTTTTTTTGTTTGTATATTTGTGTCAAAACATTTGAAATATACGAAATAAATGTATATCCCACAGTCCCAACGCACACTGAAAAATCTGCAAAGAATCTGCAGAGAAATTGCAAAGAAACTCTAAAGATTTTTTTGCAGATCTGCATCAGATCTTTGCCCAAATCTTGGCACATCTGCATTGTGGAAAATTATCTCAAACTGCCGGTATAGCCGGTAGTTGAGCGTGAAGTTCGGAAGATTCTTATCTCCGTTCTCAAAATACCAGTTTGCCCGACTGTGTGGTTTTTTAGTTCAGTCGCAGACTGTGTTGCCTCACACCTAAACTCTTCTTTCTCTATCGGATATAAAACTGCCATTACTAGAGAAGTTCCACTGAAACCTCACTTGCACTACACTATTTCTGTTTTTCTTGTACTATTATTTAGATGATATAGTGAATCATATACTTGAAGAACAACTGAAAACACTTGAAGCTGAAGAAGAAAAACGTTTAGCAGAATATAAGCAATCACATAAAAATGATCCGGAATGTAAATACTTTGTTCATCATCCTCCACCATCACCAGATGAATATCCGACGGTAGATCGTTCTATTCGATCACAGATTTCAACATTTTACCAAACAGGTATGTAAGGAGATGTTTGCACTACAAATTTTTTCGATGTAACTAAAAGTTAACTGTGAGAGAAAGCAGCATTTACCGAAGCAGTTTGACTTTAGATTGCTTTTTGATGAGCAGATGAGATGCTGAGCACCATTAGTGAGTTCCTGTTGATCTAACTAGTGCCGTTATGAGCCCTATAATGAAAGTTTATAGTTAGATAATTTGTACCCGATAGAATTCAACCGAAACATGAGTTAATTCTGAGATAACTTTTTAACCTATCATCGTTCTTAACACCATGTTCACTTGTGTGGTGTGAAGAAAGCAGATCCGAGCGTTTCCGAGTCTTTAGTGGAGCATTTATTCACTTCTCCATGCACACTTTTATTTTGGTAGGATTAACAGGCACAGAAACTGAAAAAGAATTTGAAAAATCGAAGAAAAAAAATGAAAGAAAGTATTTTGTAACGAAAGACGAAGATGACGTTCTAAAACTGAAAATGATGGAAAAGGACAGTGAGGGTGAGTGATGAATTTTAAATCTTTGTTTGCGTACGTACAAAAGATTCTTTAGCATTTCTTCTCTTTTAGAAAAAAAGGTGATTCTTACATGTAAGGAAGAAGTACGTACGATTATTGATACGTATATAAATCTTTATCAAAAAGAAGGGACATTCGCTTCGCAAAATCACTGTTTCAAAACATGTAATCAGTTGTTTTATATATCTCTGGAACGATTTAAACCGATTTGCAGTATCATGTAAGAATTATTTATCAAATCAATTTAGAAATATACATACAAAGCTACACATTTTGCTCTCTTCTTCCTTAGTGATCAAATAATAACAAGTGGAGAAAAAAAAGATGATGGTACGCGAGAAGGTGCATTCAAAGTGAAAAAGTTGAAAATTTATTTTCTCAGCGTGACGATGTATGCCAGCCGAGAAAACTTCAGAGTATATACTTCAAAATGTCCTCTATAATCTGAGAGGATTTGAGAGTAACTTTTGGGGAGGTCCGCCCGCCCTTAAGCACTTCCAGTTTCGTCCATGCCAAATAAATTATTTGCGCCTCTTTTGTTTCAGATGATAGTGAACGAAATATGAGCAGATTTCTTACGTGCAAGGAGGCGTTGAATGTTGTCAACTCATATGATCGTTTAAGTAGTTTACCAGAAAAAATTGTCGGAAATAAAGTATGTTGTCTAAAGGTTGATAAAAAAGGTAACTATTGAAACAACTTGTGAAACAGTGAGGTGAATTCGGTTTGCCTTCTATTTTAAGACTGTTGGAAAAATGACCAGTATTACTGGCTACCGAAAGGCTCAGTGAACGTAACACATGATAACGTCACTATATTTCGTTCACATTATTTTTGGTCAGAAGACAATAGTAATGTATGTTTGTCCGTCTTTGCTTTGTGTGTAGGCCCAAAATAAAATCCAAAATTCATGTTCAAATCCCTGTTTTACTTTAATTTAGAAAAATGAGCCTATTGACAGAAAGTTTCGAAAAAAAGTTTATGTGTTAGAAACGGATCCGACACTCGTGGTAGTACAGTATTTGGGTGAGTTCTCTTCTTTTTAAATAGGTTTGTCAGTAATTTTCCTGTCTCTTTGACAAGGTGAAGAAACATGGGGCATTCGGAATACTAAATTACGAATTCCTGCTCATCTGCAACGTCATATTGAACAAAGAGTAGCACATGAAAAGCTTGCAGAGATTTATCGTGATCTCATTAATACGGAAGAAGGAGCCTGTACAATTCGAAGCAGCCAACAAATTAAGTATCTCCGACGAAAATCTCTGATGAAATACAAATTATCTCATGATGATATGTAAGTACTACATCGTCTGCTTCCTCATTTACATGGATTATATTTATACTGAGAAACAAAGAAGTCGTTTTTGGTCCTAAAGTCTGGTCAGAAAATACCAGCTCCATGAATTATAGAGCTAAATATGAAGCAAAAATTTTCTAAGTATATTTTCCCGGCACAGTTTTTAGTGGAAAGCTGGAAAGAGTTCTATCGCAGACGTCTGAGTTTTTTGAATTTTGTTCCTATTAGACCGTCCTCTGTTCCCGGAGAAGAAGAAAGAGAGCAGAGCATGTTCAGTCGCTAACGGAGAGAAGTCGACTTAGCACAGGCGATTCGGTAATCGATAGAATATAGGGTCCAAACAAATTTTGTCTTTTCTAAGTCGACTTCCCTCCATGCACTAAGTCGACTTAGAAAAGGGAAAACTCTTTTGGACCCTATATTCTATCGACTGCCGAATCGCCTGCGCTAACTCGACTTCTCTCCATGTGTTAAATCGACTTAGAAAAGGAAACATTTTGTCGCTGTGTATTTTTTTGATTTTAAAATTGCCTGTCCGAAGTCGAGTTTCCTCCATCATATGTTAAGTCGACTCTCCTGCATGCGTTATGTCGACTTAGAAAAACGAAGATATTTTTCGGTTTGTGAAATTCGCCTGAGCTGAGTCGACGTTGCACACCGAACACTGTCGGTATTTATGGGTGATACCTTTGGGCTTGGTGCTTACTCTTTTAAAAAAAGGGAACTGTGCGTCTGAAAATAGAATATCGAGAAGAGCGTTTGCTTCGGTGTGTTCTTTATTCATTAAGTAGGGACTGTCGCCTAGGAAATAAACTTTATTTGGGTTTTGGTTTTCATTCACTTTTAGGACACTGGGTTATCGACACCTTGAAGATTCATGATGCGTTTCCAAAGGAGGTGACGAGTAACGCCATCGAAGGGATGAACAATTTGTTTAAACAAGTTACAGATTGGAAATCGCTGTCGCTCGATCGTTTGATATTGAAAATTAACGATGTACAGCGTTCTCATATTCATGAAACAATTCGTGGCTGCTGTGGATTAGGTGAATGTTAATTTAAAGCGTCTTACCTCAGCTTTTATTATCATTTTCTTTTTTATATTGTAGGAGATTACAAGTTAAAAATTGAATACAGTGCACTAATAATGGATCGTAGTGCTGTCTCTGATTTAGAATTTTTTCCGTCGCAAGATATCGTTGATTGTATAATAAGTAATCATGATGTACAGGAGTGTACGTGCAGTATTCCTACTTCGCTGGACTCAACCATGACCGTATCTTTCTATTCTGCAGTAAATGGTGAAGACTCCGAAAACTGTCGTCCAGCTGTCATTTCCAAACCTCGTCAGAAACCGATGAATGCTTCTGAATTAAGTGAAATTCTTATTCCTAATAAAAGTGTACGATATGATGATAGTACAGGTACAGATAGAGCTAGAATTTCTTGCACATGTTTCAAGAATCTTTTTTTTGCTTTATTTTTTTAGGAACTTTTCTTGTTGAAATAAAATCGAAAAATGATTTCAATATCCTTTCTACAAAAATGAGTGACAATCAACTATTTTTTTATCATTGTACGTGTTCTTTTGCCAACTTGAAGAACGTTAAAAGCGACTGTCTGCATATATTAGCTGTTAAAAGAAAACAACGATTACCATTGATTGTGAATAGGCCGAATTTGTCGAAGGTTCAAAAAGCGACGGAAAAAGAATCGGGTATACAGAAGACCGACACAAAAGCCCCTACATCATGGGATAAAGAAAAGGTAGGTCGATTCGACACTAAACTTAAGAATTTCGTTAGAAAAAGTACATTCATCAAAAAGAACAGCGGTGGATCACCGAAAAATGCCGTGAAGGGCAAAGCCTGACGTTCGGACAAAGTTTTTCTAAAAATTAGACATTTTTCTGGTTTAGGCAACAATCAGCGGTCTGTTGCGAAGCTAACTGCAGTGCACTTTATGTTGTGCTTTTTCTTTTTAGATGCGAACAGTTCTTGCCAATCGATCTGATATTATCAACAACAATAATGCAATGGAACAGTGAATTACGAAAATATTTATTATTATTATTATTTCTATTGAAACGTATTTAAGTGGAAAGTATGGTGAACAGTCCCTTCTATATTTTTGTATGCTTTTCACGCTTTATCAGACATTTTTTCAGTTATTTTCTTTTTTTGTTTATAAACGGAATTCTACTCTCCTTCTTCTGATAACTTTTCTTTTGTGATATCTTTTTTTGGAAGAGCACTTTTTGTTGAAAATTTTTGTAACTTTTTTCCATACCACTTTTTCGTACAGATAGATTTTTTTTGTTTTATGAAAATTAATCAATCTTAATTAGAATATACTGAATGAATCAAATCAAACGAGGCAGCCAAGTATTAAATCTCAAATAGAATTAGGATTATCTCTTCGGTTTTTAGCAAACTATTGTCGGTTTCATCACTTTCGACCATTATTAACATTGAAAGCGTACTAATTTTTGAGCCAGCGCTTCATGATCTTAGCCTGTTATCTCGTACTAAATATTGGAACTTGCCTGCTTAAAACGCTCATTGATTCTGCATGGACTTAAACCAATCCAGCAAGATCTGTTGCTTTAGTTTTTCTGTGTACGGATTCGATATCAACATTACAGTAGTCAACGTCGACATACTTCTGTTTATTTATTAAAGCAACCCTCCTCGTAAGTGTACGCCATCTGTTGGCGGCGCTTCAAACGTTTTCGGAAAAACAACATGTATTTAACATAAAAAACATGTATTTAAAAATAAAAAAAACTTGTAGATTCTTAGAATTACTGAATTTCGGCTAAACTATCCGTATTTCTGAAGAAAAGTTCGACCAATCACAAACCTCGCTTTATCAAATATCAAATTTTCGCCCACAACCAATTTTTAAGGTTGTGGGCGGACTACCTTTAGTCTGACTTATTTCAACCAATGAAAAATTGTGACTGAAACTCCACAACAGCCAACGTAATGGACTGAGTGCATTAATGCCATACGTTTCACACAACTCTTATTGGGCAAGCTCCTTAACAAATAATTTATTTTTTATTTCTCCTTTTCTCTGTCCCGGTAAAAGGTAAAAGCAACTCGTCACAACTACATGAGTTGACTTCTTTTTCCACCGTTTATTTCTTTTTCTTGGTAGGACACGCTAGGACTGAAAAAAAATGATAGGACTAAACATAAAAATTGCTACCAACCATGTTTTCTGTCGTTCTTCAACGTTTCATGAGATGAAAGTTACTCTATCTCTTCTCCTTCTCTGGTTTCTTCTGGCGTTCCTCAAGGCAGTATGCTCGGGGCGCTACTATTCAACTTTTGATTTCTTATTTTTATCAATGACTTGCCTCTTTCTCTTCCAAAAAATTGTGAAATCTGTCTTTTTGCGGATGATGTCTTTTTAATTGTACCTCTTTCTTCTTCGGATCCATTTAATTTCTCTCATGTTCAAACCTGTATAAATTACTCTTCCTCTTCTACTAATCTCATGTCTCTCAATGTTCTGGGCTTGCTTTTAGTTTTGATTCTTTCACGTTTGTTTACAATCAGCTATCGCAATAAAGTCCCTCTTTCCGTTGCGTCTTCTGTTCGCTGTCTTGGAGTTCTTGTTCGCACAATCTTAGGTAGAGTGAACATACCAGAGACATTGCTATTGCTTGTCGGCGCAAGCTAGGTGCATCGAGTCGTGTCTTTGGACTAGCTCCATCAGAGATTCGGCGTCGAATCTATCTTTCTTCTGTTCTTCCTAAATAGATTACTGTTGTGCCTTATAGGACAGTTGTTTCTCGCTTTCTGTAAATATACTTGCTTCTCGTGTTATTTCTCGTAATTTTGATTATCGATTTTCTCGCTCTCTGCTTGTGCCACAACTTTCTCTTTCAAACCTTTCACTTCACCGTAAATATTTTCGACTTGTACAATTTTTCCAAATTTATTATCGTCTTAGACCTCTTTCCATCTTTTTACTCTATTCACCATAGAGCCCTTCATTAGATGGACATGATCACAGATGGACAGGCACAAAAAAAAAGTGTCCATGCAGGACTCTAAATTTGTCATCCTCATTACTCTTCTTTACGCTGTCATCATTCTAAATATGTTCGCATTCCCACCTGTCTCAATGATTTTCCTTTTTTCTATTCAACTATTACTGACTGAAATAAACTTCCTGAGTCAGTTATTTGTTATTCTTCATTAACGTTTTTCTAAAAGGCACTAGCTCAGTATCGCTTACAGTAAGATTCATCCATAATCCTAGTCATAATAAACTTGTATTAGTTGTTTTCTCTAACGTTATTTTATATGTGTTTATCTTTCACCGTTACTTTTATTTCTATGTTTCATACTCTATTTTCTTTTCCTTTTGTTTTTTCTCTATCTCATTTTTACAGTTTGGCTTGAGTCATTGATATTACAGGCCATGGACCTTTGATGACTGCACTTTTCGTGAATAAACATTATTATTATTATACAGAATGAAACAGGTAAAGCCAACGAGAATGAAAGGATACGCTAGGACTGACGAGGGATGTACGCCAATTGATTAAAAGCTTTTTTGGCTAATATTTTACTGATAGGTAGAGTGGATGACAGTAAGAAAAAGCCTAACTGGATTTCTCCCCATGCGACTTGGTTTTGATATCTGCCCGCTTAGTTTTCCTATCGCTCACGTGTACAGAAACATGCATTCAGAATTCGTCTAAATAATGTTGTGCATGTACTTGAATATTCTGCCTTAAATGAAACGCTCATTTGTCTTTTTAGCAAGAAGTATATGTGTGTAAAAGTATTTCGTCGAATTCTTATGCTTTTTTATTGTTTATTTGTAGATTTAACACTTGTTACTATTTCTCTTCAGACATATTGTAAAGCGTCGTGAACTTCTGATCAGTCTTACATGTGTGTATAGTTGGTATCTTTACACAGTTAAGCGATTTAGTTGGGGTAGCATCTTTTGCTTCAGTATTTGATCAGGGGGGATATTATGTTATCAAATGTCACCTTTTTGTTATCCTTTCCTCCACCTACTTCCACCCAGTAATGACATTATTTGTGAACTACTCTTATTAAACAAGGAAGTTAATAAGGCTAGTAATCTTACCCTTCACAGATAACTACCAGCTAAGAAGAATTCTTTATTGATTAGTTACATCTTTTCCTTGTCTTTTTGACTTTTCTCGGGGTAAATACCTTTAATAAGCAAAGAGCAATTTAGACTTGAACATAGTTTCTTTTATAAGACAATTTATGCCTCTTCAACTAAAAGAAATTTTTACGTTCAAGTCTGATTTGTTACTTACTGGCATCGTACTCGTCCTCCTTTCCTCCTCATTCCTCCTAAATAAAATTTTCTCCTTCTTTCACCTCCTTCTTGGACAAAGCTGCTAGTTTTCGAATAGCGTTCGATTAAACAGCCTTTTTAAGGTCTTCGTTATCATACGTTGCTTCTTATATTTGCTATATTTTTGTGGTCAATAGAAATTTCTTATTATTGCATGGCGAGTCATCAGTAGTTCTCTATTTGGTATGTGCATTTTTCCCTTTTCTAGATCTCTGTCATCTATCTTCCTATTATCGTCTGTCGTGTCATTAATAATTATTTTAACTTGTATTTTCCTTTTCTCTCTCTCGCTGTTCATCGTGTATAGATATCTTGCACATTTCGAATTCAGAAGATTCTATTCATTTGATATCTTTTTTCTTCCTCAATTTTGAATTTTTTTAAAAAGATATCAGAATAGAAACCACTGAAGAAAAGAAGACCACATAAAAAAAGTCCGTTAACAGTGATACACAACTATTTTCTTCTCACAAAGCCGAAACATATTGCATAATCTGTTTGCTTTCATTTTCAATTAGCTTTACCCATGAGGACTTTTCCGATAGAAAAAAGCGTCTTCTCCACGATAAAAAACTTATTGTATCCGTTGTCACACTATGATCATCATCATTGGTTTTCTGCCCTAGGGCAGGTTTCAGGCATACAAGGCACATGAATGACAACAATTAGGAAAACACTGCGATATGTCGGGATAAACATTACAGGGCGATATCCGCCGATGCTGGTTTTAGACAGATGTATCCCATTATATCGACACCTCACCGACAACGGATCAGATAATTTTTCTATCTAGATAATATTCGATACAGCATTGTTTCGATATATCCTGATAAACTAGGTATCGGTTAGTAAACTGATATATCTTCTATACAAGGTGTCAGTAATTCGAATTTGCAGCAGTATTTTTTTTCTTTCATGGTCCGATAAAGCTCGTCGAGCTAAGTAAGAAAAAGTGGTTTTTAATTTTAAAAGCAATTCTTTTAAGGAAAAAACCTGAAACAATTCAAAGAGTCTAAAATTTCGACCCCTTCGGTTTCAAAATAATTCAAGTTTTTTCTTTTTCGTTCTTCTAACTCTTCCAAGTATCATTCTCATACTCAAATTTTAACGCTGAATCCGAAGAAAATACTTTCGAAAAGTTAGAAAAACGAAAAAGAAAAACATTTGAGCTTTTCGAGCAGAATATCTTGATGTAACACTGTGGCACGCCGTGTCCTAACATTGCGTTTATCGCGGGAAGACTACAAGCACCTGACTATTGAAATAAAAAAGATTGTCTTAATCAGCTATAACATAAATATAATCTCGATAAATGCTGCAACTAACTTGATACTCAAAGTATCGGGATTTAGCGCTATAGAACTTAAGAAGATGTATCAGGGTACAGTATACGTCGTCTGATAAACAGCATAGTTAACGCGATCAACAATATACATAGATGTATCATAACTCATCCGTATCTAGATAGAAACAAGGTATGGGTTTCTATTGCGATAAACGTGGTCTTTCTGGCGGTATGCAATGATTGATCGTTACAGTCAGCTATGTCTCTTATCGCGATCTACTTCAATATTCTTTTGTCTACCCTCTAATATCGAGTTATATCGCCCGACAGTTGCTTAAAACGTCCTCATGGATAGATATAAAGCAATTTTAGATAAAATCATATTTATATACGAATCACAAATACTTCTACTTTAGAAGTAACTTACTTATGTAAGTTTTGTGACTAAGTATT